GGCATGTATGGTGCTATTCATTCAGGGACAAGAGTGGGGATGGAGAGCAGAAGGAATCTGATGAATGCACAGTGGTGGGAATAAGACTCTAGGTAAAGGTAAAGGGACTGGACCATTAGGTCCAGTCGTGACTGACTCTGGGGTTGCGGCGCTCATCTCGCTTTATTGGCCAAGGGAGTCAGCGTACAGCTTCCGGGTCATGTGGCCAGCATGACTAAATTGCTTCTGGCGAACCAGAGCAGCGCACGGAAACGCCACTGACCTTCCCGCCGGAGCGGTACCTATTTATCTACTTGCACTTTGATGTGCTTTCGAACTGCTAGGTGGGCAGGAGCTGGGACCGAACAACGGGAGCTCACCCCGTCGCAGGGATTCGAACCGCCAACCTTCTGATCAGCAAATCCTAGGCTCAGTGGCTTAGACCACAGCACCACCCACGTCCCTTGTGAATAAGACTCTACCTTCCAGCAAAAGGGGAATTATTGTGGAGTTTCTTCAAACACACCCTGCACACAGCATGTGCAGCACAGAACATTTGTGTTAACAAAGTCACTTTAGTAAGACAGATAGAGTCTGAAGAGAAAAATCACGATAGCACTTTACTGAGAAAACTGAACAAAAACAGTGTATAATTAGAGGAGAAATAAATACGTACAGCAGTTTTGTCTTTTTTGGTTCAGGCTTTCTACAAAGCAGGGAAACATAAAATTTAAGCATACAGAGGAAAAGTTCCCACAGTCCCACACAGCCAATCAAGGTAACCTCAGCAAAGATCAAGCCACTCTGCCTGGTTGCTAAGCAACACCTCCACACATCCCCCTTATGGCTAGCTGACTTTGACATTAACAATTAACCCTTACATTACAACATGAATGATCCCTGCTGTTGGACATCAAATACTCTAAGCTGACAGGGAGCTGTTTCTGCCTGTGAGCAAGAGGAACAGTTAAACAGCATGTGAGAGAAGAGGCACCACCACAGACAAAGAGTTCTCCCTCTCTCTCAGGCGAAGGTCATATAATTCAGTGCTATTTTCATCCTAGGCAGGTTTGCTAGTTGTCCTCTGAAGGCTGCTGCTGAACAATTTCAAATCCTTCTCGTCATCAAAGGGGAATTTACTCACCTTTGCTCCTCTGAAGTCAAACCACCTGGGACCTAAGGAACACCTGACTAAAAGGCTTCCTTCAGCAAATTAAAAATATCCAGTTTTAACCACCCCCTGAATGCTATAAAGAAAGAAGGGAAAATTCTCTCTCGCGCGCTCTCTCTCTCTCTCTCTCTCTCTGTGTGTGTGTGTGTGTGCATATAATTAATTTTACTGAAAGAATATTGTAGTCCAACCCCCTACAATGTAGGAATCTCAACTAAAGCATCCATGACATATGGTCATCTGAACATAGGATGGAGGAAGAAGAAGAAGAGGAGGAGGAGGAGGAAGAGTTTGGATTTGATATCCTGCTTTATCACTCAAAGCGGCTAACATTCTCCTTTCCCTTCCTCCCCCACAACAAACACTCTGTGAGGTGAGTGAGGCTGAGAGACTTCAGAGAAGTGTGACTAGCCCAAGGTCACCCAGCAGCTGCATGTGGAGGAGCGGGAAATTGAACCCAGTTCACCAGATTATGAGTCCACCTCTCTGAATCACTACAGCACACTGGCTCACAGCATTAGCACCCCAAGAGATTTTCCTGTCTCCAGCTTCCAGCATCAGCCCAACTCATCAGCTCTCTCATACCCAGCCCCAACCATTGTTAACCATACTAAGATGACATGGCATCCAACCAGGTGAGGGGGGAAAACCCACTTGTCCCTATGGAGCTCGGCATTTGTCAGGCTTCAGGGAGTCTGCTTCCTCCCCCCCTGGCAGTAGATAAGCAGAACAAAGGAAAAGGAGCCCTCCTACCAGTTAGAAACTTTAATAACCACAGCAAGGGAACAAAGAACACATCTAAAAATAGCGGTGCTCCCAATTAAGGAATCTGCCCCCTACCGTCCCTATTAATCTACATTACTTCTATGTCTTGTAATCTGAGTCTGTACCCTCTGTGCTTTTTGTTCTGCCACTTTCTAAGCTCTCTGTGACTTTGGAGAAAGGGTGTGTGTGTGTGAATGCTGTCCAGAGACTGTGAATCTGTTAACATTCTCTCTTCCAGTGTTTCTTCTCCTAGCTGTTCCCCATCCAGTATTTCCCAGCTTCTGCCTTCTGAAGTATAACCCTCTGCAAACCACTGTTCTAAATCTATACTGTCCTCCTGCTCTGGGAAGATTCAGGAGCAGGAGCAGGAGGAGGGGGAGGCTCCCACCATTCCTCCTCAGCATGGTCCCTGACATCCTTTCAGATGATGATGAGAGCACTTAACTGGGCAGCTAAGGCCATTACTAACACAAAGAAACTGCTCTGACAAGTATTCCTCTTGTAGATTCTACTGCAGGGGTTGGCAACGTTTTTTGAGGCCGGGCTGGTCCACTCCCTGGCAGACCTCTCGGTGGGCTGGAGTGTGCGTGCCCGCGCATGCGCTCAAGCTATTTCCGGCGCTCTTCTGGGTTGGAAGAGTGTCGGAAATAGAATGTGCACATGCACACAGGTCTCCTCTGTCCCAGAAGTCAGTCCCTGTGGTGGTGGTGGGGAATGGCGCCGTGAAAAAAAAAGCATGAAATCTCCACACCAATCCATGGAACGGCCGTGGGCCAGTTCCAGGAAGCTCATGGGCCGGAACTGGTCCATGGGCCTTAGGTTGCCAACCTCTGTTCTACTGGCACAAACACAGGATCATGGGATTGGAGGGTATGCCTGGGTGTCATTCAGACTGACCCACCAAAATTAATAGCATTACAGTAAACCACGTAACAGAAGAAGTTTTATATTTTCTGGTACTGTGTCAGCCCAATACAAAACAAACATACTCCTCTATAAGCACATTGTTCTGTCTCCTAGCCTCTCTCACCATTAATGCATTGGTTAATTTAACCGTATATTCTATACCCTGAAGTTTCATAGTCCATTCTTTGGTAGTTGGAGTTTCTGATTTTTTCCAATTTGTTGAAATCGGCATTCAAGTTGATGCGCCACCATTTCTATATGCACAGACAGAATTAATTCCTTTACAAATCCAGATAGTAGCATTAGAGAATCAAATGATAATTTATAACCCATAATATGAAACTGAAACGATCCCTTTCCAATACTTCCTTATCATGGAGGCAAGACCAAAAAGTATTGGGCCATGTTAGTGTTTTCTATTTTATATATCCATCCAAATTATTGGTATCATTTTAAATATGGTTAAATTGCTTATGTTGTTCATAAACAAAGAAGTTTTCTGAAGCTATTCTGACTCTTCCTGTGTCTTGGTATTAGGGCAGGTGGACTGAAAGATCATCTCTCCTTCTGTGCCTACAGAAATAAAAGAGGCAACCTATATTCCAGCCATTGTCTCGGCAACTGCCTCCTTATCAGTAAGTTTCAGGCAGTGCAAGACAGTGCAGGGGGGGCTGTTTTTGGCAGCAACGCCACAGAGTGGAATTAAATTCAACCTAAAATTCAGGAGGGATGAGACCTGGCTAATAATTGTATGCCATTTTCAGATCAGGTCCTGTTTCTCTGCAATGATGCCTCTGGCTTTTATACAAAACTCAACTGTATATCATAGAAGCAAATCCTAAACGTTTATCATTTCTCAGAAATTGCTACAAAGCAAATGTTTAAAATGCAGGAAGAAGGCTAGGATCTCTAAATTAACCCATAGATTAATCACCTCTCTTTTGGGGGGGGCACTTTTTTAGCCCTTCTGGACAATTTTCTGGGGGGCCACATGCTAAAACGTGGACAGAGGCAAAATAATAATAATAATAATAATAATAATAATAATAATAATAATAAATAATTATTTATACCCCGCCACTCTGGGCGACTTCCAACAAAAGATTAAAAATACATTAGAACATCAGGATAAATACACCAAAGGATAAATGGATATAAATCTGATATCAGGAATCACAGGACTGAGAAACCAGTAGGAGAACACTTCAATCTCCCAGGACATTCTATACAAGATCTCAAAGTAGCTGTCTTATTACAAAAGAATTTCAGAAACAGACTGGAAAGAGAAGTTGCTGAATTGCAACTTATTACCAAACTTAAAACCATGGAGAGACTTGGTCTGAATAAAGACATTGGATTCTTATTTCATTATACATGATAAGCTATTTTTAGCCATCTCACCCCTTGCTTTTTCCTGTAAGACCAATTGCAGTAATTAACAGTCATCAACAGGTTTACCACACCTATCAGCCAATCACCCATTCCCATTACTTCTGTGTAATACCCCTCCCCACCCTCTCACTATATATAAGGGTCTAGTGACTTCTGTTTCAGTGTATCTGAAGAAGTGTGCATGCACATGAAAGCTCATACCAATAACAAACTTAGCTGGTCTCTAAGGTGCTACTGGAAGGATTGTTTTTATTTGTTTTGACTACAGCAGACCAACACAGCTACCTACCTGTAATTAGAACATCAGTCATTAAAAACTTTCTTAAACAGGGCTGCCTTCAGATGTCTTCTAAAAGTCAGATAGTTGTTTATTTCTTCGACGTCTGATAGGAGGGTGTTCCACAGGGCAGGCGCCACTACCGAGAAGGCCCTCCCCCTGGTTCCCTGTAACTTCGCTTCTTGTGAAGTGGGCGGAGAAATGAAGGGAAATGTCACCTTTGGATGTTTGTATCCTCTCTATCCTCTGCCCAGGAAAGCAAGAAGCATGATCAGAGTTCAAGAACACATTCCAGCCAGGAAGTCACACTCAAGGAGGGTGCAAAGCAGGGCCAGTGAGGGCTGTGTCCCAGGGAGAGACTGATGGAGAGGTCCAGAGAGTTGCATTTGGCCTCTGGGCCTGAAATTCCCCACCTCTGGCCTAGGAGCTCCCCTTCAGTTCTGCAATTTATTACAACAGGTGAAAGGACAAGTCACTATTTCTGATCATCCAAACTTCATAACACATACAGGATAGCTCAGTTGGTTAGAGCAGGGTGTTGATAATGCCAAGGTCATGGGTTCAATCCCTGTATGGGACAGCTGCATATTCCTGCATCGCAGGGGCTTGGACTAGATGATCCTCAGGGTCCCTTCCAACCCCACAGTTCTATGATTCATGGCATAATCTGGGAGAGGGTCTGGTTGGTTAAGTGTGGAATTCCAAAGGGTCTGTCAAAGTAGCAGAAACTGTAGTAGCAGGCAGCTTTCTCTGAGGGGCACCCTACGCCTATAGTTTCTGAAACAGCGGTGGCAGAAAGCCTGGTCCTCAGAAAGTGTTGGCAAATCTATGCAGACCTGCTCCCCAAGGAAAGTTACAGGAAAGCTGTGGGGCTGATTGTGCCAGCTTACCTGTTCCGGTGCAGCTTAAGGGGCACGCCACACATTTCTGTCAGCAAATCTTCAAAAGCCAGGGAACACGCACACCTCAGGATCAAAGCAAATATGCAGAAAGACAAGAAGCTCAAATTAAATCCCTAGATATATAAAAAAAACCAAATTGCATATTCAGCTGGTTACTTTCTCATCTTTCACAAGCAAAGCCAGCATTCACATCTCCTTTGCAGTACAAGTAATACATGTTTGTTCCATCAATAGCTCTATGATTCATCTAGGGGGATTGTCAAGTTTTGCAGACAAAACAAGACACTAATGCCATCTATTGTAACCAAGTTGGTATACGGTGAAGAACTGTCAGAGTTGGAAAAACACAGAACATTCTAATAGGTTGGAATAATATTTTCATGAGGATTTTTAAAAAAAATATCTTTCAGTAGAAATTTGCAAGTCAATTTTAGGCTGAAACGAAGAATTCCCAGTGTTTTTAAGCTGGGACTAAGCCTGCTTAGACTAAGCCTGTTCCTATGGGACAGCAAATTTGCGCTTCCTGAAGCAACACAAGAAGCAAAATGAATTTTGTGAAATGGTGCTCTAACCATGCACCCAAAAAACTGCATATATTTGAGGAAAACACACATGAAGGGTCATACCAATGTTAGTCCTACTCTGAGTAGATCCATTGAAATCAGTGTAAATTAGTTAGCCATGTCTATTCACTTCATTGGGTCCACTCTGCATGGGACTAGCATTGGATGCAACCCATAAATGCCTATATTTGTGAAAATAACATACCAAAAAAACCCCAACCCCAACTAGTATTAGGGAAATTTCCTTGCCAAAAGAAAGAGTATATATTAGGCAAACCTGCACACAGAGATGCAAAGACTGGCAAATGAAAATACATATGTATTTTCATGTGGACTGAATCAGAAGCAGATGTAGAAATGGGACCAAGTGAAACCTGGAAAAATGAGAACCTGGAACTGACAAATTTGCTTATCTCCGATTTCTAGCAGAATTTCTGCTTGATCAAACATGCCGCCAGTATTCTCATCAGCACAGCATCAGGGATTGCTTTATGAACACAATCTGATAAGAGGCTGCTGGATCAGGCCAATGGCCCATCTAGTCCAGCATCCTGTTCTTGTAGTGGCTACTAAAATCCACAAGCAGGATCTAGTGCAAGAGGACTTTCCCCTCAGTGGTTTCTAGCAATTAATATTTAGAAGGATTACTGCCATCAACTGTAGAAGCAGAGCATAGTCACCATGGCCAGTAGCTACAATAGTCCTCTTCTCCATGAATTTGTCCAGTCCTCTTTTAAAGCCATCTAAGTGGGTGGCCTTCACAGCCTTTTGTGGGAAGGAGTTCCATAGTTGAAGTATGCGCTGCTGTCAGGGATTGGGCAGAAGAGGAATGGTGGAGACCGCCTCCCCAGTCTGACCCTTCCGGAGAAGAAGACAGTTCAGAATTACAACAGAGGGTTGAGGGAGGTCACAGCTCACAGGCAGGTGAGGGGGAAAGCTGGGGAATAATGGGAGAGAAGGAGCAGGAAGAAGAACCAGGAGGGCAACAACTGATGGACACAGTGTCTTTAGAAAGCATTTCAGACCCCCCTCCCAGAAACTGGCGAGCAATGAAAGTAGGAGAGCAAAGGGCTCAGAAGCAAAGGACCTTCAGCGCCACCTGTAGGGGAAAAGGTGACAATGAGGAAGTGGGAGAAAAGAGGGTGGAGAGTCACTAGGGGCAACACCATTATTCCAAGAGGCTGCATTTCCAATTCCCTCTGTGTATATTGAATAAAAAGCAGTTGGTAAGGACCATAAAGAAGGTTGATCGCCAAAGAATTGATGCTTTTGAGTTATGGTGCTGGAGGAGACTCTTGAGTGTCCCATGGACTGCAAGAAGATCAAACCTATTCTGAAGGAAATCAGTCCTGAGTGCTCACTGGAAGGACAGATCCTGAAGCTGAGGCTCCAACACTTTGGCCACCTCATGAGAAGAGAAGACTCCCTGGAAAAGACCCTAATGCTGGGAAAGATGGAGGGCATAAGGAGAAGGGGACGACAGAGGACGAGATGGTTGGACAGTGTTCTTGAAGCTACTAACATGAGTTTGACCAAACTGCGGGAGGCATGCCTGGCGTGCTCTGGTCCATGGGGTCATGAAGCCATGGGGACATGGCTAAATGACAACAAGGACTTTTCCTTGTCTTATCCATTCCTGGCAACCTGCTGTAGGAGGTTGGATTCTCTGCTGCCTGACAGCTGCATGGTTTATTATTTCCTGTATGCACACTCCACTAATTCCGTCCGCAGAAGTGGCACGGTTATGAGTGCCACATAATTCCACACTTATAAGAATTCAATCTTTTAGTGTGGCAGCACCTACAAGGAGTTTGGAACTCCTTGGCTTGTGTTTTTGCTTCTTAGTGTTTTCTAAAAACATTTTTTCTTTAGGCAAGCCTATCCAGGCATGTGGAAGCTGTTGCGTGCTTTAATCTGTTCTAAGTTCAACTGTTCCTTTTAGTTATATCTTAATATTATTTTATATTATTTTATTTTTTAAAAAAACAATTACTTATTTATAAATAAAACCTCTAAGCGGTTTACAAAAACATAGAAAACAAAGATTGAAATTGTCAATAAAAGGCCATCAAGAAGTATATAAAGATAAAGGTAAAGGTACCCCTGCCCATACAGGCCAGTCTTGACAGACTCTAGGGTTGTGCGCTCATCTCACTCTAGAGGCTGGAAGCCAGCGCTGTCCGCAGACATTTCCGGGTCATGTGGCCAGCGTGACGAAGCTGCTCTGGCGAACCGGCACCAGAGCAGCACATGGAAACGCCGTTTACCTCCCCGCCAGTAGCAGTCCCTATTTATCTACTTGCACCCGGGGGTGCTTTCGAACTGCTAGGTTGGCAGGCGCTGGGACCGAGCGACGGGAGCGCACCCCGCTGCGGGGATTCGAACCGCCGACCTTTCGATCGGCAAGTCCTAGGTGCTGAGGCTTTTACCCACAGCGCCACCCGCGTCCCACAAGAAGTATATAGATTTTGTCAAATAGAAATAAAAGTAACAAAACTACTTCAGAGTACTGCAAATAGCATATAGAAAATCCTTTTGACATACTGTATAGATGGTGGTAGGGTTGCAATGAACAGCCTAATTCCATCCTTCATTGGTGCTAAATCATTTTGAGTTTTTGAAGGAGACACACACACCTGTATTTAAATCATATTAAAACACAATACACAATACACACTTTTCAATGCATTCTTCCATAAAATATGCATTTTTCATGCAGCTGTTATGTATGTCTATTTCTGTATGCACTTTAACTGCATCTGGAGAAGTGCAATACAACCGGGAGTTGTATTTTGATTCCACAAGCAGGTTTGGGACTTCCGGAACAGGTCAATCTGCTGCAAAAAAACCCGAAAGTAAACTAATTCCTCCCTGTTCCTTCCTAGATAGTGTTCTGCTCCAGTTGGGATTGGACATGATGATTATTGGTAAATGAACTATTAATTTACCCCCCTATGCATGCACTTTCTCAGCGTAGATAAAAAGTAGAGAAGAAAAGACTTTCTTTTTCAGAAGTTAGTTTACCAATTGTTTATTACATGCTAATAAGCAGGAAATGCAGCAAAATAATGCAGTTGGGACTAGAGCATCCATATTCAGTTTCTAAAGCCAGCCAGTCAATCTTTCCACTGATATATTCCATTCCATTCTCCCTCCCACTCAGCATGAGAACTGGAAATAAAAGGAAGGTTGTATGATGTTCAGAGGGCAATGCTCTGTTTCCACTTACGCAGCACCCCCCCTTTAAAACAAGGATCACCACAGCTGATTTACAAGTTCTAGTGAAAATGTCTGTGAAACTCTGCTCCCTTTGCCTCACCCGTAATTGTGATACTCTTTTGGGTTCAAAGAACTGGAATTGTTTCGTAATGGTGACAAAGGTGATGCCGCTCAAATATTCTCAGCCACGACGTTTTTTCCGCTTTCCATTTTTGACAAGAAATCCTGTGTCAGCCTCTTTTCTCATTAAATACTCCATTCCCTTCCAGATTACTGGAAAATGGTTTAGAACAGAGCAGCCTGTTAGAGAAACATGAAGGGAAGTCTCAGAAATGACAAGAGAGGGTTTATCTTGCCTGCAACAGGGTGTTTTGACTTGTCCCATTTATTCCGGACTTCCTTTTTGCCTCTGCACCTTGCTCGCAACATTGGAAGCATAAGACAGAGCACACAGTGATACTGCTAGCAGACCCATCCATGGCTTGGCAGCCTAATTTGTCATGGGTCCACTTTACTTGATTTGGGCAATTTAGCTTGAGCGGAGATCAATCTTGGCAGAGCTGGCTCATGCTACATTGCTGACCAAAGGGAAAATGAATTTAGCACCCTCCTCCCTGCCTTTTGTTGTAGACAGAGAAGGCAAGGGGGGCAATTACATATCTTCTCCAAGTGTTTGCTTTATTACACCCCCTTCCCCCTTGTTTCTTACAAGCAAATGGAGTGAAGGGAGGGGAATTTAGCTCCACTTTCTTGTATGAAACATGAATAAGTGAGATGAAATGATAGATATGCTTCATTGGCTTTCACAAACAAGAGCACCTTGCCCTACAAATCTGGTACGGAAGGGACTTATTAAAACAACTGCACCATTCTATTTGATTGTATTCTCTTGGTTG